TGACTTAGAATATTATATTAGTTTCAGGTGTACAACATAGTGATTCAATATTTTTATATATTACAGAATGATCATCAGTGTAGGTCTAGTTACATCTGTCACCATACAAAGTTATTACAGTATTAGCCAATCCATTCCCCACACTGTACATTACATCTCATTGACCCATTTATTTTATAACTGGAAGTTTGTCCCTCTTAATCTCCCTCACCTATTTCACTCATCCCCCCCAGCCCTCCCCTCTGGCAACCACCTGTTCTCTGTATCTGTGAGTCCGTTTCTGTTCTGTTTGGTTTTGGGGAGGTTATTTGTTTTTTTAGATTCTACATATAAGTGAAATCGTACAGTATTTGTCTTTCTCCGATTGACTGACTTCACTTTGCATGATACCCTCTGTGTTGTTGCAAATGGCAAGATTTCATTCTTTTTTTTACGGCCGACTAATATTCCACTGTGTGTATATGTACCACATCTTCTTTATCCATTCCTCTGTAAGTGGGAACTTAGGTTGCTTCCATATCTTGGCTATTGTAATAATGCTGCAGTGAACGTAGGGGTGCATATATGTTTTCAGAGCAGTTTTTTGGTTTTCTTCAGAAGAATACCCGGAACTGGAATTACTGGATTATATGATAGTTCTTTTTTTTTTTTAATTTATTTATTTTTTTGCAGTACGCGGGCCTGTCACTGTTGTGGCCTCTCCCGTTGCAGAGCACAGGCTCTGGACGCACAGGCTCAGTGGCCATAGCTCACGGGCCTAGCCGCTCCGCGGCACGTGGGATCTTCCCGGGCCGGGGCACGAACCCATGTCCCCTGCGTTGGCAGGTGGACTCTCAACCACTGCGCCACCAGGGAAGCCCCTATTTGTTTGTTTTAATACTTTTTTTTTTTTAAAGGAAACTTTATTACTTTTATTTATTTATTTTTTTGGCTGCATTGGGTCTTCGTTGTTGCACGGGCTTTCCCTAGTTGAGGCAAGCGGGAGCTATTCTTCCTTGCAGTGCGCGGGCTCACTGTGGTGGCTTCTCTTGTTGCGGAGCATGGGCTCTAGGCACTCAGGCTTCAGTAGTTGTGACACGTGGGCTCAGTAGTTGTGGCTCATGGGCTCTAGAGTGCAGGCTCAGTAGTTGTGGCTCTTGGGCTTAATTGCTCCACGGCATGTGGGATCTTCCTGGACCAGGGCTCAAACCCGTGTCCCCTGCATTGGCAGGCGGATTCTTAACCACTGTGCCACCAGGGAATTCCTTTCATAATTTGTATATTTCTAGTTATGGTCTTTTCTTTTTTGATTAGAGAAGTCCCTTTAACATTTCTTGTAAAGCCAGTTTTGTGGTGCTGAACTCTTTTACCTTTTGCTTGTCTGTGAAACTCTTTATCTCTCCTTCAAAGCTGAATGATAGCCTTGCTGGGTAGAGTATTCTTGGTTGTATGTTTTTTCCTTTCATTATTTTGAATGTATGGTTCCACTTCTTCTGGCCTGCAACGTTTCTGTTGAAAAGTCAACTGATAGTCTTATGGCAGTTCTCTTGTACGTAACAAGTTGCTTCTCACTGATTTTAAGATTCTCTCTTTATCTTTAGTTTTTGCCGTTTTAATTATGTGTCTAGTGTGGACCTCTTTGGGTTCATCTTGTTCGGGATTCTCTGTACTTCGACTTGGATGTCTCTTTCCC